GAGTATAAAGAGTATACTTTTCGCGTGTATCTTTCCTCCGCCACTGTTGCTATGCAACATGGTAACAGTTGCTTTATCGAAATAATGGCAACGACGGTAAGCTGACACCAATACTTGCTTCGATGTGTCGGAAGATTTAAATGGAGCAACTACGTAATTAATTATTTATTATCTTTCGGATACAGGTGTCCTCTGTAAAGGCGACGATTTAGAAAAGGTAGTTGACCCTTTTAGGCAACTGCTGGAGCATAAAACATTTACTTCAACCTACCTTAGCTTTTTCTGAGGAAACAGGAACACGGAATAATCAACGAGGAAGCCGGTGTGCAGCGTAGGTAAATAAGGATTCATCCGCTGCAGTACCTTCCCACAGAAGGTTTCAGAAGCCGAAAATGTAGTGAACATCAAAAATCAAATGCGTTCTACTTAGGCAAAGAGCTGAAAGTGATGAGTTGTACAAACATACAGTTATATGCTAAACTTTGTCTTTTGCGTATAATATTTTACTAATTATCATATTTGTAGCGATCGGTCATGAGGGTAACTTGGTATGCGGTCTTCTCTCTGGTCGACCTGTGGTGTGCATGCAAGGTCGGCTTCACACATACGAAGGTTATACGCCAGCTGAGGTCTGTTTACTGTTCGCGCACGACGATTTCGTCTCGTTATAATTCATTTTCAGTGTGCTGCTCCAATCAGGGTGATGCACTTGCTCGGTGTGAAATTTTTGATAGTTACAAACGCTTCCGGAGGTCTCAACCCTGATTACCAGCCAGGGGACATTCTACTACTGAAAGATCATGTTTGTCTGCCTGCTTTAACTGGTCTAAACCCGTTGATTGGTCCAAACGATGACAGGCAAGTGTTTGAGATCTGTATACGTCTTCTCTACACTCGCGCTACTAAACAGTTATGAATGGGTGACAGTGAAAATTTGGTGTAATGCTAATAAGCCAAGTTATTCTTGTTTCAGAGCACCATTAGAAGAAATTAAGTGATTGTGCTGCTTTAAGGTTTGGTACGAGGTTTCCAGCTATGGACAATTGTTACGATGTCGGCTTAGCAGTCGTTGTTAAGAATGCTGCGGAAAAATTGGGCTTAAAAGGGAAGCTGCGCGAAGGGGTCTACGCGATGATCTCTGGTCCCGCGTACGCGACCAAAACCGAAAGCGCTCTTTTACGTACACTTGGTGGGGATGCAATTGGTAACGATTTGTTTTGCAGCGCATCAAGCGTTATACAGTGTTTTGCTGCTAATTTGCAGGCATGAGCAACTGTTGGGAAGTGATGATAGCCCGTCACTGCGGAATGAAGATCATGTCGTTGTGCGTCATCACTGACATGTAAGTTAATTTTTGAGGTTTCACTGGTGCTGTACTTTCTTCGCTCATTGTTCATTTTCAGTCTGCGCGATGATCCCAACTATAT